CTTTGGTACGTTGCTGAGTTTAAAAAAAAAAATACCTAAATAAATAAACTTATTTGAATCAAACAAATTTGGGTAAATAAAAAAGTATGAGCAAAGTAGCATTTTAATTACAATTGTAGTGCTAAAGTAACCATATAATATTGACGAAGCTGGTTCAATTTCAGTTTATCAGTATTAATTCTCCATAAGTAATACTGTTTCTTTCAATATTACTCATGCAGGAGTAATAATTATAAACTGAGATTGCCCGGACAAACTGTGAGTTACAGTCACCTTATTCATAGTCTTTATCTTTCTCTGCACTTCGCTGTGAGACCTGGGCAAGTTGCTCAACCATGATGTGAGTTAACCAGTGATTTAGAAGGTGAGCTCTGGTGCTGGACTTAAACCTTGGCTACGCCATTTAATGGTGGCGTGAGCAAAGGCTTCCAGGCAGAGTTGGGTAGACAGTGAGTTTACAAAGAGTAAAGCAAAAGAAATTGATACTAATAAGAAATGCCCTATTCTGCCTGGGTTTCACCCCCATTAAACACTGAATATAATTATGGAAAATGTTCCTGGAGTTGAATTCCAGGAGACAATAGGCCACTGATTTTTCTCCTAAAACCACATCACCCTCAGAATTAAGAAAGGACTAAAAATGTTGATGAGGATAAAGTTTACATCAGTCCCCTCAACATCATACCTGCTTTCCCACCCATTTTACCCCATCTTCACTTCATCCAGGATAAGCTCTTGGCGGGAAAAATACTATGATTTACTTTTGAAACTCAAAGACATGTCTATATAATTCCCTTTTATTATCATAAAAATATACTATTTATTAATTTTTAAAAACTCATCATAGTGTTGAGAGCCAGGCAAAGTTTCCTTCTATCATCCAGTCCTAAAAATTCTTTCATTTCTGTAGAGCAATAGTGACCATGTAAATTTGTTTTTGATGGAAACACTTCATTATTTTAAATTGTGTGCTGGGAGAAAAAAAAGTTTGAAAGTTCTTCTACTAAAACAATGGAGTTACACAACAGAGACATTAGAAGAAAGAAAATACAAATCAATTTTTGTCTTCTAGTTGGGTCCAAGTTTTCCAATAAGGGGTTACATTTTCTGAGTTTTCTCTCCTTTCATTAATGTGACAAGAAGCCTTAGCCTTGCTTGTACATATCAGAACAATAAGTTCTTGGATTACATGTGGGCCCGGCTTAAAGCAGTCATTCAATCAAAAGGAAATGCTGCCTTTAAGTTTTAGTGCTTTGTAATGTTCTGTACGAAGCCATAACCCACTTCAATAGATAAAAAGGAAGCAAATGGAGACATTGCGTGAGTGTGTGTATACGTGTGTGTGTGTCCATGTCTGCATGACCCAAAGCAGCTTCCCTGTCCTACATTATGGTCAGGGACCAAGGAGTTGATACAGGTTATTTATGCAAAAATCTCCCAGTCATACCAAACTATTGAGTTTAATGAGGCCAGTTTACAACCTAAAAGAGGGGATTTAATTTTTCAAATAGCCCATGTGAGAAAGTTATATAGTAAAAGGAGAAAATAACAATCCAAAAGGTATTAGATGAGGAAAAAAAAAATCACTTTCAAATACTTTTCTCCCCCTAAACACCCACCTGTAGACGTAGTTTAAAAGGCTAATTGCTTGCAGACATTTAAAGTTCAGATTTCTGATGCAAAACTCAGTGGCCAATGTATAATATGTTAAACTTCAGAGGGAAAGCCGAATTAGGCTTTGCAGAGGATTAAAGAAATGTCTCATGCTCCAATATTAGTGAGCTCATGCCTTGATAAATTATCTAATGAGTTTTCAACACGCAACACAGTTAAATATAGTAATAGAAATCATAAGCGAAAAATCTTTTTATAATATTTGGTTACAGGACGTTGAAGAAATAACTTCCTGATTAGATAACTCAGAAAGGGCAATACAAAACATAAGACCAATAACTCAAAATAGTTTCTGTTAATTTAAACACATCATGTATATTTATTCAAATGTTTTAGATGATCATATATTAAAATAAATAATTAGGGTACAGTATTGCTCAGCTTCTCAAGTCAGGTTCACAGAGTGGGACTATCTTGTAAGATACAAGTATTCTTTTTTTTTTTTTTTTTTGAGACCAAGTCTCACTCTATCACCAGGCTGGTGTGCAGTGGCAGGATCTCTGCTCACTGCAACCTCTGCCTCCCGGGTTCAGGTGATTCTCCTGCCTCAGCCTCCTGAGCACCTGGGACTACAGGCACGTGCCACCATGCCCTGCTAATTTTTGTATTTATTTTAGTAGAGATGGGATTTCACCATGTTGACCAGGATGGTCTCAATCTCTTGACCCTGTGATCCACCTGCCTCAGCCTCCCAAAGTGCTGGGATTACAGGCGTGAGTCACCATGCCCGGCATAAGATACAAGTATTCTAAGTTTTATAAGACTCTACAAAATACAATCAATTATATTTTTATTCAAATATGAGAAGGATAAACCTAAGTCATAAATGGGTTAAATGGGCTACCTATATGCTCAAACACTTAGTTTGAGTCCCAATTCTGCTTTTTTCTAACTGTATAACTTTAGGAAAGTTGTCTAACCTTTTTGAACCTTATGTAACTTGTCAACTTCTTATAAAATTAATTTATAATTATTAATATAATTATTGACCTTGAAAATCATTTTTTACATCATGTAGCCCAACAGTTCATTTTATAGATGATAGGACTAAGGTCCACAGATTTAACTAATGTTCCCCAGGTCACACATACCATTATCCTCAGTGTTGGCATGCAGCCTGTGTTTTCTACATCACCATACATTGTGCTTTCTACTCCACCATTCTGTCTTATGACACTTTAATAATTAGAACTCTAAGTTCAGTTTCTGAGACATACATGTTAAAACTTACCTAATATTTGGTTTTTAAAATATGTTTTCTATCAACACATTTCCACAATTTGAACTGCTAACTACACTAAACTGACGATTCCAAATGTAACTAAAACTGTAGCTAACTTTAGTTGTATTCCTTAGTTATTGCAATCTGATAATGTACCACAGAAATAATATCAGTGGTTTCTGTTTTGTCGAAACTAATAAGTAATTTTCTGAACCACAGAATTTAGTAAGTACAATTACATAGTGTCTTCTCATAAACTTTAATATAAAAATGTCAATTATTTAATTTAAAAATGTCAATTTATTATACAATAATAGTCCATAAGTTATATTCCTTTTATTAAGATATTAGGCTTAAAAAGTCAATGATACAACAGATTCCATTGAAATAAAAGACGTTCGACTGTTTTGGATTGTCCTTTGTTTCAAATGATTTTTCTTTCTTTCTTTTTTTTTTAGTTTTTCAAAATGGGTGTTATTTTAAAGAGCAGTTTCAGATTCACAGCAAAACTGAGCAGAAAGTAGAGATTTCCCATGTACCATGTGCCCCTAAACATGCATAGCATAGCCTCCCTCATTATCAACATCCATTACCGGAATGGTACATTATTACTATTGATGAGCCTATATTGACACAACGTTATCACCCAGAGTCCTTAGTTCACATTAGGGCTCACTCCTGATGTTGTACATTCTATAGGTTTGGACAAAGGTATAATGACATGTATCCACTATTATAGAAGATATGTTATTTTATGTCTTATATTACAGAGTACAGAGCAGTTTCAATGCTCTGAAAATCCTTTCTGCTCTACCTATTCACCTCTTCCTTCCCCCAACTCCTGTAAACCATTGATCTTTTTACTGTCTCTATCAATTTGTCTTTTCTAGAATGTCACATAGTTGGAATCATACAGTCTGTAGCCTTTCAGACTGACTTCTTTCACTTGGTAATAGGCATTTACATTTCCTCCATGTCTTTTGTTTTGGTTTGGTTTGGTTTTCATTTTTGAGATAGGGTCTCTCTCTGTCACCCAAGCTGGAGTGCAGTGGTGTGATCATAGTTCACTGCAGCTTCAACATCCTGAGCTAAATCAATCCACCCACCTCAGCTTCCCAAGTTGCTGGGATTGCAGGCTTGTGTCACCATGCCTGGTACTGTTTTTTTTTTTAATTTTTAAAATATTTTTTATAAAGTCGGAGTTTTGCCATGTTGCCCAGGCTGGTCTCGAACTCCTGGGCTCAAGTGATTTGCCCACTTTGGCCTCCCAAAGTGCTGAGACCACAGGCATAAGCCACCATGCCCGGGCCTCCTCCATGTCTTTTCATGGCTTGATAGTTCATTTCTTTGTAGTGTTAAATATATTGCATTGTCTGAAAGTACCACAATTTATGCATTAACCTACTGATGGACATCTTGATTGTTTAAAAGTTTTGGCAATTATGAATAAAGCTGCTATAAATATGTGTGCTGCTTTTTGTGTGGTCACAGGTATTCAACACCTCTGAGTAAATACCAAGGAGCATGATTACTGGATCATATGGTAAGAATATGTGTAGTTTTATAGGAAACCACCAAACTGTCTTCCAAAGTGGCTGTACAGTTTTACATTCCCATCAACAATGAATGAGAGTTTCTGTTGATCCACATTCTAACCAGCAGCTGGTGTTGGTGTTCTAGATTTTGGCCATTCTAATTGCTGTGTAGCGACATCTCGTTATTCTTTCAAATAAACAGTTTTGATAAGTAATTTAGAAATAAAGACAAGTTTGGGAGTTGAAGATGTCAACATCTTAAAAAATTCTTTATAAAACATTTATATGTATTTATATAATTGGAGCTTGAAATGGTACTGGCCAAAATACAGAACATTTTTATAGAGCTACCCATAATATCTTATATGTGAAAAATAATATTTCTTCTTTTATTTCTTTTTAGAATAAACAGATGTCTTTCAACAAGGAACATTAAGAAAATGCATATTTGATATCATGAAATTTGATTTCATGGAGCATCAGAAAAGCACAGGTAAATTCTCACAATTTATCTGTCTTTTAGATGTTATTTGATTTTATTTAATAAAATAACCAAAAAACAAAATTAATCTTAATTATATAAATTCATACCATCTCCATCATCTAACTTTTCATTTCCACAAGATTTATTTTATCTGTAAAACATTATCAAATTAACTACATTTCTCATTTCACTCTCCAAATTCTTATGACATGTAAGTATACAAGATACACCACTAAAACTATGCACTAGTTTATATATTGTCCTTGTTTGCTTTCCAATTTACTCATTATATATATATTTCCCCCCCCATAGAGAACTCAGAAGTAGTCCAATGGCCAGAACTATATCTTATACTTTCTTTGTATCTTCCTTAGAAAATAGCACAGTAGGAACCTTATAAATGTTTGCTGGATTTTGGAGTTAAATGTAATAATCAAATGATTTTTAAAATTAGTCATTCTGAAACCTGTTGTGAGGAAAAAATATATAAACAAATTTACATGAAATTACAAATTACAGTTAGTAGCTTAATATATATATTAGCCTTTCCAAAGTTTACTAGGCAGAAGCAAGCCTTTAGGTAAAGGAACAGCACTATAACGATTGGGCTCTAAAGAAGAAGTTGAAGCCAGTGAACATACCCTTTGACTCACGCTACAGTGTGGCTGCCTCCACACCCCATAGCCTGGACCAGTGGTTCTCTTACTTTAGTGTGTATCAGCATCCCCGGAAGGTGTGTTAAAACACAGATCACTGGATCTCACCCTCAGAGCTTTCGATTCGGTCTCAGATGATGCTAAGGCTGCTGGTCAGTCAGTGGGCTAGTTAAAGAATCACCGGTCACTGGGTCAAATAATAGCATGATAGTTAATATGACATTAGCATTACAAATATCATAGTATATTAATAGCATAGTATAAGCATTATAATAGTAATGACATTAGCATATTAGCATATATGGATCACAGATGTGATACCAGAATCTAGGATCAGGATGTTTCAGGATCAGATCTGTAAGACTGTAAGAAGCTGGCTGGTGACCACAGAACCTATAAAACATCCTCAATCAAATGGAACATAGGAGCAAAGCATCAAGTCAGAGAACAGCGTGAGATCAGAAGTGAAGGCATACATAGCAGTGGAAAATAGAATAGTTGTACCAACACTGGGTAAGGCATACAAACTGATTCAATAGAAGTACCACCAGGGCATGATGTTATAACCTGAGTTATTAAAGCACAGAAGGTGAGGAGGCAACATGCCCACGTGGTGGGGACATAAAAACCCATTGTAACAAAAGTCACTTGTTTGAGAACCCTGTATCTCCAGTTGCAATCTCTTTTCTTGCTCTCTTGATCTAATAAGCCCTCACTCACCATGGAACTCCAAGTTTGCACTTCCCGTATGAATTATATTACTCGATCTTATCACCACCTTGAGACCTCAGTTATTAACTCTCCCAAACTTAAACTCTAAATCAAGCACCCAGAGAGAGTAATGATATGTCTTCTTCCCTCTGCTTGAAAGGGAAGGAAAGCAATGATTTTCTTTAAGGTCTCTAAGGTTGTAAGCCATAAGAACTAATGAAAGGGAATATCTACTCACGACACTGAATGATCTGTAAAAACCGACCAACCCCTACATACACACACACACATACACACACACCCCTCTACACCCAGGGTTGCAAAAAAAAAAAAAACCATTATTAACTTGATGGGTGAGTGAGAATAGAATCCAGAATAAAGTGCTAATAATGGATTTGGGAGATAATAAACTTTTCCAGAGAGACCCAAGTTTAGCTACATACTGAGAGGGGCTTGAGTGCTCTGAGTTTCTTGGAATATTAGATGTTTTCCATACTTTATCTTTAATTTCACAATATTCTTCACAGGTAAGTTTTGACCACCACTTCACAGATGAGACTTAGAGGAGAATTGCTCTAGGTCCTTAAGTAATGACCAAGCTGGAATTAAACAATATAAATCTGGTATTGTCCATGATTATTTGAAAGAGAGATCAAGTATGTAACTGAAATTCATAATTACTATTATCATTCAGATATTTTGGTAGAAGAATCGTTATGCCTCAGAAATTCTATTTTCTAAAGCAATTTTCAGTAGTAAGAAGCACTTCACAAGCATTGCTTTAGATATTTTTACATGCTTCAAAAAACTAGGAAAGGTTTTGTGTTTGTGTGTGTGTATGTGTGTGTTTGATTTTAAGGTTGTGAAAACCAAGACACCAAACACTTAGAAAAGACATTCAAGTAGCAGATGAAGTATTCAAACCCAGGTCTATATGGATCTAGAGAAAAATATTTTATCCACCTTACTCTTGGACATTTTACAGGCTTCTTTATCCACAGGTATCCCTAGAGCTTAGAGTCCAGCAGAAATTATTTACTCCAAGAAGACCAATGAATGTATCTTGTGCCAGAATTGCACTCTAGTGAGTTATCTTAGATTGTAACTGTGGTATCTGACATGCTAAAGGATTTATTGTCTCCCTTCTACCAATTATATAAAGACTTTTCATTCTCTATAAGGTCCTTTATAGTTTTTCATGTGCCTGGGAGCCCACATCCCCATGTGAAGGAAACCGCCCACCCAGAGGCCCTACCCTTTGCTCAGCTGATTGAATGAGGGATGTGCATCTGACTCAAGAGTCACCAATCCATAAGTTTTGCAGTGACGCCCTACATTGGATTCTGACAAGCCAGGCCAATCACATTTCTTATTAAAAAAATGCACTACAGAACCAAGAAAAGATGCAAGATAGCAATGAGGACAGAGAAAGAATACCATATGAAGTGCTGACATGGCATAGGCCTAAGGTCGGAGCCCTAGACACCATTTGTAGATAGTTTGTAGAGGGACGAACTATCTAGAATGAAAGTCTCACCAGGGAATTACATGATTGAACACTGTAAGTATAAAAGATTGCACATCTTATGTTCTCCATTGCATACTTTCAGAGCACTCAATGATATTCTTACCATATTTAAAAGGAAATGAGTTTTAAAGGCCACATGGAAGCTAAGTGTGGCTTTCGCATGCTTTATCCACTGGCATCCTTTAAGAATTTCTGTTAAATTAATACAGAAATTAATGGTAACAAGCACATAGAGTTATTAATAATATTTACATTTAAGTGATGAAGACTTCCTAAAAGTAGGAAAAAACACTTTACTTATGTTTCCATTGTCTTATAATTTGTGAGTAATTTTTAAGTATTAAATATATTTTAAATAATATGTATTAATGCACTTGCTTTGCCAGTCTCTGATTCTCTACATGAATTCAAGGTTAAAACTCATGGTGCTGATTTACTCCGAGTTGTGGTACAGAGGAAAGTCATAGACTCTGGAGTCAGTCCTGGGTTCAAATCATGATGCTAACACTTATTAGATATATGACGGCTGATGAAGAACATACACTCTGGGCAATATTTCACTCCTCTGTATAAGATGAGCTATGTTAATGCATACTTTGCCTATTATCGTCGTCTGAGTTAAAGGAGATCAACCAGAAATCACTCTACAGAGTGCCTGGTCTTCCATAGTACTATGAATAGTATAATGCTGTTTTGGTAACCTCATGTTTTATGATAAAATGTTACTCCAATATATATAAAGCCTAGGATTTAAACATCATTTTCATTATATACAGTCTCTGATTTTAGTTGCTATGAAAAAGCAGGTCTTACATATGCTTAAGACATCAGCTGTCATACTTCTTCCTATATTCAGTGATTTATAAATCTGATGTATAGTCAGAGAACATCAGTTAATAAAATCTTAGTATTTTCCTAGAGTGATATAGCAAAGACTTTCAGAAATCAGTTTTAGAAATTTAGCATATTGTCAGAAATCTGATGAAAAGTTAACAAATTTAAATTTTCTACTATTGATTCTGGTTTTAGTCTCATAAAACCTATTATTTTTGTCTTCTTTAAGAACTCTGATCCGATTTCCAGAACTTTACATTTTCAGAACTTTCTCAAGAGTTCCCTATTCTTATAAAAACACTGTGAGGTAAAATATATTTACACCCCACTTGGAAACTGCAAGCATGAGCGTCCAGTCTCATGTTCCCCAAACACAGCCAGGGGAAGCTGCTCTCACAATATTGTTAATGTTTCATTAGCAAGCCAGATGTGGGTGACAGCAGCATTCTCCTTGACAATTCAAATGGCACATTTTTTGGGAAAGTGCTTAATTCAGAACTACAAGTGGACAGAGCTATCCAGACCTCTTCAGCACCCTTATTATGGGTTTCATATTTTTTGCTGGTATTTCCCCCTTTTTTAATAGGTGAGGCCGCTGACAACTGAATTAGTACACTCTCCTTAGTATGCCAGTGGCTCATGACAATAGCCTGAGGGGGAAGATATAGATAACTGAGAATTTTTCTCAGTGTTGTGATATATTTTTTCATATGGTTAATAAGGCAATTGAAATGACATTCTGTCACAGTGGTATAAGAAAATAAGCTTGTGATTTCCCATATACTACCACTAGGAGGAGATGCATTTTGTTCAGTACTAAAAAAGAAAGAAGAAGAGGAGGAGGAAGAGGAGGAAGAGGAGAAGAAGAAGAAGAACAAGAGGAAGAGGAGGAGGAGAAGGAGGGGGAGGAGGAGGAGAAGGAGGGGGAGGAGGAGAGGGAGGAGGGAGAGGAGAAGGAGGGGGAGGAGAAGGAGAGGGAGAAGGAGGAAGGCGGGAGGAAGAAGAAGAAGGAGAAAGGGATAAGATTAAAGATGTGGCGGTCTGCAAACCTGAATGTCTTTTAGTGTAATTAGACATCAGCAGCACCTAATACTAAAGAGAGGGCAAGTCTGTGGCTGCTCTGGTGATGAAAACATTAAGTAGTATTAATAAATAAAACAAACATTTTTTAGTTGTTTATCAAACAGCAATTAGAAGGCACAAAGCTAAAAATGTGTGACAGATCCTCCTTAAACAATGTCATGATTTTTTTTTTCTCTCTGTAAGTGGGATTTTGTGGGAAGGACTATTTTCACATCTTCCTTTGCCCTCAATCTTCTTACTTTTATAAGCCCCCATCAGATATTAAAATGTATCCACATTACACCTTATACAGGTGTGTGTGTGTGTGTGTGTGTGTGTGTGTGTGTGTGTCTAAAATGTTATGAGTTAAGTTGTAGTTGACTAGTTGGGGTATTACATTTTTGAGACATTTAATTTAACATAAACTGATAATAATTTTGATGTTTCCATTTCTATTTTGGAGCCAACAATTTTTCTTCTTTGCTCTTCATTCTCTTATTAGCCACTGAAAATCTTGCAAACTTTTTGTATATTACAGATAAAACCACCTCTTTGAGAGCATACTTTTCAATATGGGTCTGTCCAAATTCCAAAAGATGAGAATTCTCAACTCTGGTTAGAAAAATGTTTCCTGTAGGTCTCATGATAAAGTCTCAGGATATAATGTGAAGATTAGGTTATCAAGTATCAGTATCAGATAATTTTTTTAGTAATATGCTACTATATACTAACATAAATTAACATAGTATCAAATTTGCTACTTTGTTTAAATTTTTTTTTTGGAAAATGGTGAGAAGTGAACTATTCATAGTTACTTATGTAAGCAGCTACCTAATGGAAGAAGGGTTAGGCAGGCTTTGTTACCCACACATGTTTAACTCTAGGCTTCTTGATCTACTCACCTTTACCAAGTATTTTGCCCAATGAGCCTCTTCCAGACCTATGAAACTAGACATTTGTCATCTGCTGCTAATATGTCACATGTACATCACCTGTGAAGTTTAATATTCTGTAAGACAGACATTATTCTTTTTCAAAAGAAAAGTATTTTTCCCCTGTATCCACTGTAAGGGGATTCTGGTCCTTACAGTGGCAGCAAAGTGATAGACAATTGAAATTTATTCTAGTTCAGTTTACCAAAGGTGAAGTTTATAAGCAGTTTCTTCATAAGTTACCCATATATAAGCCCAGTTCGACAGAGTAAATATATTCTGGTTGGATCATATGATTCAATTTTATTGGAAGAACATGATTTTTCTCTATCTTTTGAAAGTTATTAACTTTGGCATTATTTTTCCCAGCCTGCTTTTATGATAATATATATTATGCTACCAGATATCTGAGTCATCTGAGGCATGTGTTTCCTGTACTACAAACTCCTCTTTCAGTAGGTTTATGAGCAAGCAGAATTGACTCCATTTGAGAGGCATGGGAGGGACCCTCAGTAATCAGCCCTGTGCCTCCTGCCATCTCCTCTCTCCTGAACCATGTAGCTGAGCAAATGAATATCTTGAGTCATGCAGCTAATAGCCCTTGGAAACTCTGTTGAGTAGGCTGTCAAAAAAAATCTGGGAACTCAAAATATCAGTTCATGCTATTCCTCCCAAACTCATGACTACAACAGAACTGCTGACCTTCAATTTGGCACCTGCTCTTGCTAAGCTCCTTGAATCTGATATTTAGGACTTTTCCAAAATATTACTGCCTTACCTAGACACCCTTTCTTAGAGCCAAGGTAAGAATCTAGTCCTCTTATTCTAGCAAGTCTGTTTGTCACTCATGGGAATTCTATGAAATTAGGACAAATGCCAATTATTTCTACTGGGCAGTAATAAATATTTGAGTTCACGTAATCAGAACTATTCACTACTTTACAATTTTATCATGTTTTACCTATTTCCCAAAGTAATTATTGTTTGACGTCCCCACAAAATGTTGGCATTTATGAAGAACTATTTTGACTTCATCATTTGAACAGCCCTCAAAGCTTCCAAAAATCTCCATTTTATATAAAGTGATTGAGTTACCACAGAAACTTAGCAACATTACACATAAAACCAAGGATAAAATAAATATCATCTAAGGAAACTGATGCACAGAAAACAGTTGTATGTTCTTTGCATATTCAAGTACCATTAATGAATCAATTAGGACATATTTTTAATAAAATACTTAATATATATTTTTAAATACACATACATTTGTTTAACAAATAGATTCTGAATAGCAGAAGAATACTCTGCAAATTCCATAAGATGAAGTTATAAAACTACTAATGAAATTTGAATGTATGCTTAGCTTGTATTTAATAAATATTACTAACGTGATCAGTTTTTTTCATGGCCTCTGAATTAATCAGAATATCCCACTTAGTACTTTCTCTCATCTTGTTATATGTTGAGTGACTATAAAGGAAGCCTTTGTGACTGCTTTTTAGTACACTGGTAATGCTCACCTGTTGCTCTCAAATTCCACTCCTAACCTCCATCCCCACTTATATGGTTTGGCTGTGTCTCCACCTAAATCTCATCTTGAATTATAACTCCCATAATTCCCACATGTTGTGGGAGGGACCTGGTGGGAGGTAATTGAATCATGGGGGTGGGTCTTTCCCCTGCTGTTCTCATGACAGTGAGTAAGTCCCATAAGGTCTGTTGGTTTTATAAAAGTCAGTTTTCCTATACAAGCTCTCCTTGCCTGCCGCCATGTAAGACATGACTTTGCTTCTCCTTCACCCTCCATCATGACTGTGAGGCTTTCCCAGCCACGTGGAACTGTGAGTCCATTAAACCTCTTTTTCTTTATAAGTTACCAAGTCTCAGGTATGTTTTATTAGCAGCATGAGAGCAAACTAATACACTCACCCACCCCACTATGACACTTAGCTGTACTGTGCTAGTACTTAGTTAATTACCAGAATAGCTATTTTCAGCAGACATTTTATTATGGCCACCACCACTCATTCCAAATCTTCTAATGTTAATCTTTTCAGTAGCTTATGAGGTTCAGAGCATTGCTTTTAATGAATTCTATACATAATCATGAATGAACCTTCAATGCAAAGGTAGAAGATCTAAACATAAAGGAATGAGATGTGGAAGGAGAAGGAGTTCTCAGGAGATTGAGAGCAGAGGGAAACTGCTCTGGACAGGATTACTTAGCAAGGGCTTATCCACCCTCCTTTCTGGAGGACATCTGTAAAGGGGCAAGTCTCAGAGACTTGTTAATTTTCTGTTTTCTTGGGAAACTCTGAACTGAATATCACAGAAGTTTGTAATGGTCTTAAGATCCTGCAGACCTGATTTCCGAAAATTGCCAATCTATTTTCTTCTTCTAAGAAGGATGCCTGAGGAAGTTATTTTCACTCTTAAGTTTTTCTCAAAACAAGGAGAATTAGTTAGCTGTTAAAAACAAAATCATTAAGTGTTCCACTGTTGTCTATAGAGTACATAACCTAAGGATAGAACAAATCCTTGCCCTCAAGGATCTTACAATCTCTCTCAAAACACTGGATGTGCATTAGCATTTTTATAGTGTAATCATTCTGTGATGTTGTCAGAAATGCTTTATTTAAATGGGCACAACAGTTATATTTTATTCTAATGAAGACTCATTGGCACTATGGATTAGCATTTGCCAGTGGGAAAGTGGCTATTAACCTTGATATATGTGAATGTGCCCACATATAGGAGCCATGTCTCTAAACAGAGTACATTTTCTAAGGTAAAACATGAGGCTAGGGGAGTAGTGAGTGAGAAGAGACCATATACATGCTCTATTTAGTATAGTTGGTATATTTGAAACTAGAGGAGAATGGAGAGGTTGTTCCAGACTCCAGATATAGGTGAACCTAACAACTCTTGTTAAAATTCTGCTATCAGTATCAGAAAATGTAAGGTAGTTTTTTGTTTTGTTTTACCTTTTATTTTAGGTTCAGTGGTACATATGCAGTTTGTTATATAGCTAAATTGTGTGGTGCAGGGGTTTGGTGTACAAATTATTTTGTCACCCAGGTAATAAACACAGTATCCAATAGGTAACCTACAAACACCTGGTCTTGTTTTTTAATTTTAAGCTTATCATTATTAAATCCTAGATAAGAAAATACTGAGAGTAATTGAGGTTGAGTAAATCTTACCTTGACACATCCAGTTGTAAGGCATAAAGGTACTAACCCCTATGTTGTTTTTTGATACTACTATTACTAGGTACGAGTTACAGGATTGTTAAAATGCATTGGGCATTTCTATGAGACAGCCCATCTAATTCTCACAACTATAAAATAAGTATTAATATTCCCTATGATTCCAAAACTTACACCAGTGGATCCAGGATTCTTTCTTAGTTTTGTCAAACTCAATATTTTTACTCTTTTTACTTTATTTTAAGGTTAATATGAGTCTTAATATCACTAGACTATACCAACTCTTATATACACAAACATTCACATATATGTGTACATATTAAAACCTCACAAATATCAATACCAAATATGCTACAGCCTCCATAAAAACACTTATTACACATAAACATTTGAAAATCAAGATTATCTATACTGTACAGAAATATCAAATCAGAAAATAATAGACGATTCCTTTCTCAGATATGCTGACTCTAAGACTTCATGTCTCCACAATTTATCCTAGATTTATAAACAGCAACAGCATGAGCACAAATCCACTTTGGAATACAATATTTCTACCCAAACCTTCCAATTCCCTTGGCACTACCTTCGGTTTCAGTGATGGAGTTCTTTTTGTTTGTTGTTTCTCTGCTTGTCTTCCTTATTTTTACTTGCTTTGATGTCTCTAATCCCACTGATCCACACAGGTGACCAAACTTTCATCTGTAATCTGTAGCATTCAAATTAAAGGAACAGTTTATAGATTCTAGGATTTTCTGAGCACCTCAAGTAAATCCTTCCTAGGCCCCTCATGAATGGATAAAACCACGAGCAGCAGATGAAGCTAAATTGATCCCAATGAATGTACCACAAAGCATCAAATTGTATTCACTGCCAGCCAACAAACAAATAGAAATCTATTTCCCCCATTTTTAAAATAAATATATTTATTATGCTTTACTTTTAGCCCAGTGCCACTTGATCAAAATTGAGATTTTCCTAGCAGATATAAGATTCATAGAAGTAATGTGTCTTTCATTAGGTGATAAACAGCATTTACTATTGGACAGACTTCAGCTTTTTGTTGCTCTCTTCAACTGTAGACTTCTGAAATGCTACGCTGGTCTGTATTAAGAACAAATACTCTTTTTTCATAGAAAAATTCTATGCCTCTTTAAAGAAAACATATAGAATGGAGATAACTGAATTTCTTTCCTAGTCACATTAAACAGAAAGGTTAAGCTCCTACTGACAGGAAAGATGTATTTGCAAGTGATTAGTTATATTTCTATCATAGTGCTTGTCTGTGGTCTTCCTTTGATGTTTAAGCAAAGCTCTTGAACACGCTGGGTTGTATGCTCTGATGTTGATTTATAGGTAGAACTGAATTCCAAACACTAAGCCAGTAGGTAGGCTTTAATAAAAGGCACAGACTTTCTCCCTGCTGGTTAGTGTGTGACTAAGCTATGTTGTTTTAGGGCCTCAATCTGTCAAGACAGACGTGCAGTGAGGGAGTCCTTCGACCTCAAAGACCTGAGCTATTTGCAGAGGGTCACATTCTGCCGTTTAGGATTGGAGGTTTTAAACCCTTGGAAAAAAATAATAAACTATGTTAACAAACAAACAAACAAAACAAAACTGTTTTCTGTTCAACAGTGATGTTGAAACCCTTTTTGTTAGAAGTTAAGGTATACCTAGGAGGGAGAAGATAAAGGTAATTAGGCAGTCAGTCATATGGCACATCAGATTCAGGCCAGGCAGTGTCAGTCCTAAAGCAAGAACATCAGAAGGAATGGTAGGCCATCTTCCACAGGCTGTTGTATGCCTAGCCAACTGACAACTCTCAGGGAGTTGGACGGTGGGGATCCAGGAAGCATCGTGAGCAGCTCAATAAAGCTATCCGGTTGGGCTACAAAAGGAGAAAAAATTAATGCAATAGAGATATTAGATTAAACAAAGAGAGGCATCCCCATCTGGCCAAGCTCAGGGATGTGTGAATTACTAAAGTCATAAAATGAGGGCATGTTTAACACCTCAGTCTGCCGGCTTCGTGGTCTCAACACATGAAAGGTACAGAACCACGCAACCACACTATCATCTGAAGAAAGAGAGATGCAGTTCACTATTCATTTTTGCCAGAAATGCTTTATTTCCACCCAGGTATTTTGCAAATTGAAATTTCTACTTTATATTCAGTTTATTTGGGGATTCTCGATCGGCAAACCCAGAAATACAATGAATGTAAGCTTTTCAAAGCCAGGGAATAGATTTTAAAAGCAAACAACAAACGAATAACACTAGCATGCATTTCTTTTGAAAAAGACATAAAATCTCTGTTGCATAAAATATCTTAAAAATAGAAAATCTGCAAAAAGCAATACCACTTGCCAAAGTTAACTACTTTTAAATTTCTTTCCAAATTTGTTTCCATCATTTTCAAAGAAATATATCAACATGCACATGTGTAGATATTTGTGCATTTGTGTATAAACTTGTGTTCACAAACACAGTATGTGTTCTGTTTTGTACTTTCATTTTTTCTACTTATATTTTAATTGTAATTAAAAATGCTTTTTAATTTTTTAATTTCATATAAGGCATGTATAATTTCATTGTAGCAATGAAAGATAGTCTACACTTGAAAGTTAATATTGTCTCCAAATATTTATTACTGTAAACACATGATATCTTGAATATAGATTTAAATAAACATTTGCTTTCTCAATTAATGAATACATGAAAATAGGCATTCTTAGTACATACTTTTCTCATTGCCCAACATATTTAAATATATTTAATATGTGTAAATATACTTAAATATATTTAATCTATTTCTCTCCAGGTGATGTAGCACTAGCAATAGAGAACTATGAATCTAGACCCAAAATTCAAATTTTTCTTTGTTCTTAATTGGCTCTAAGCCGTTTATTCCAAATTGCATACTAACTCATAATTTTCTTATAGGTGAATCTTAAGAGCAAGAAGTACTTGTATATAACCTTATCTTTACTCAAATAGGGCATAAATACTGTAAGAATCTAAGGACCACCAAGTGCTCTAATAAAGACTTCGTAAAATTGACATTTGATACTCAGCCATCTTGAATCAACCCATCTTTGTATAATTTACTTTTAATTTTTTTTAACTTTTATTTTAGGTCTGGGGGTACATGTGTGGGTTTGTTATATAGATAACTTGCATGTCACAGGTGTTAGGAACATAGATCAACACCTAGATGGAAAGCATAGTAACCAACAGGTAGTTTTTAGGTCTTCACCCTCCTGCCTCCGTCCACCCTCCAATAGGTTCCGGTGTCTGTTGTTCTCTTCTGTATGTCCCTATGTAATCAAGGTTTAGCTTCCACTTATAAGTGAGAACATGTGGTGTTTGGTTTTCTGTTCACTTAGGACAATGGCCTCCAGCTCTATCCATGTCCCTGCAAATGACATGATCTCATTCTTTTTTATGGCTGCATAGTATTCCATGGTGTATTAGTACCACATTTTCTTTATTCAGTCTACTGTTAATGGGCATTTAGGTTGATTCCATGTCTTTTCTTTTTCTTTTTTTTTTTCTTTGAGATGGAGTCTTGCTCTGTCACCCAGGCTGGAGTGCAATGGCGTGGTCTTGGCTCACTGCAACCTCCACCTCCTGGGTTCAAACAATTCACTGGCCTCAGCCTCCTGAGTAGCTGGGACTACAGATGCCTGCCACCATATTCAGTTAATTTTTGTATTTTTGTTTTAGGAGAGATGGAATTTCACTCTGTTGGCCAGGCTGGTCTCGAACTCCTGACCTCATGATCCACCCACCTTGGCCTCCCAAAGTGCTGGGATTACAGGCGTAAGCCAAGACGCCTGGCCTCCATGTCTTTGCTATTGTGAATAGTGCTGCAATGTACACATGCATGTGGCTTTGTGGTAGAACAATTTATATTCCTATGAGTATGTACCCAACAGTGGGATGGCTGGGTCAAATAGTAATTCTGCCTTGAGAAATCACCAAACTGCTCTCCACAGTGGCTGAACTAATTTACATTCCCACAAGTAGTGTGGAAGTGTTCCCTTTTCTCCACAATCTCACCAGCATCTGTTATTTTTGACTTTTTAATATAGCCATTTTGAATGGTGTGAGATGGTATCTTATTGTGGTTTTGATTTACATTTATCTAATGATTAGTAACGTTTAAGCATTTTTTTCTTGTGCTTGTTGACTGCATATATGTCTTCTTTTGAGAAATGTCTGTTCCTGTCCTTTGCCCAGTTTTTTATGCGGTTGTTTGTTTTTTGCTTGCTGATTTAAGTTCCTCGTAGATTCTGGATATTAGGTCTTCGTTAGATACATAGTTTGCAAATATTTGTCCCCATTCTGTGCATTGTCTGTTTACTCAGTTTATAGTTTCTTTTGCTGTGTAGATGCTCTTTAATTAGATCCAATTTATCAAATTTGTTTTTGTTACCATTGCTTTTGGTGTCTTCCTCATGAAATCTTTGCCAGAGCCTGTGTCCAGAATGGTATTTCCCAGGTTATTGTCAAGGATTTCTGTAGGTTTAGGTTTCACATTTAATTCTTTAATCCATCTTGAGTTGATTTTTTGTTCATGGTGTAAAGATTTCTAACTAAATGCATATCTAAATATATTTTCTAATTGCATAATTATGAAATAAAAGCATTTATTGTTTATGTCTACTGTTTTACATATCAATATTTATGACCATTTAGCCAAAATTCCACTTGGTTATCTACACGTGTGTTTTAATTATTTATTAATTGATTTTTTCTCTTCTTAGTCATTATTTTTTATTTGTATCCTCTAATCCAGGGGTCAATAAATTATGGCTCACAGGCCAATTCAGACCTGCATCCTACTGACTCTCAAGCAAAAAACGTTTTCTACATTTTTGAAGTGTTGTAACTCCAGAAGCAAATATGAAACACACACCATATGTGGCCTACAGATTATAAAATCTTCACTATTTGGCCCTTTATGGAAAAATAGGACTGACTCTTCCTCTAATTCCACCAACAATCTAGGCCAACACTAGATTTCCCAAAGTGATTTGTGGAAACATCAGTTGACTGGTATTAATGGTGTTGGCGGGAGAGGTACAGGTGTGGCATTCTGTGGTCAAATGAATGTAGGAAACCCTATGTTAAACAAAGTTAACCCATTTTGTTATTGTAATATGTTTTAATATTTACTTTTAAAAGTAAGAAGAATATACACCAAAAGGCTTTGTTTTTCAAGATTACTGCTATGAAAGCTTTGTTTGCTATGACTAGTGTTCTATGAGAATTTGCTTAGATACATTTCTTGACAATAAAGAGGAAATGATATTAAAGGTGAAAGTATGGTGTCATAAATTTAGTTTTAGTACAATGACAAATTCTCATTATATTCATCCTATTTTTTGGGACTCATTAGGTTAACATATTTTCATGGTAATAGTTATATCTACGCATGAAAATAAAACATATAATTCAGAATTTATTCATATTTTCTAGGGTTTTTTTAACTTAAATTTTCTAATATTCATGCTCAAAATTTGAGATGAGGGTGGGATGAGAGAACAGAAATATGTTGACTAATGAAAATAATTGCTTTTTTTTTAATTACAAATCAACTTTTACATACTGTTAGAGGTAATATTTTAATCTTTCTAGTTCCAGCCTCTATTGGTACCTCTGGGAGAGGGAAGGACTACATTATGCAGCATAGAAAATTATAACGTGACTAAAAGAAGGTAGCTGTTGAAGTGTTAGCTTTTTCAGTTCTCAGCTGTCTGCTGTATCTTGAATTAATGTGTTCTATTTATCAGCTTCATTTATAAATTATTGACTTTCAAACCCTGCCTACTACTGAACTCTCTAAGTAGAGATCTGTTCCAATTACCACATATTACATTTATCTATCTATATATACATATTAATTGTGCAAATTCATATTTTATTCCATACTTGATATAAACATCAGAATGCTTTAGGTAAACTATAAAAACTTGTAGGTAAAATGCATGCAAAACCAACGTGAGAAAGTTCTTTAATAATTTATCCTACATATTTTAAAAATAGACTTTGTGATCATTAACTCCTGAATTGTTAGTATTTAACATCGCTTACCTCAAGGGGTTGGACTAGGAGATGTCTAGAATCTGTGTTAGAACCATGATTCCAGAATGTTCTTGACACCTATGATATATAATCAAATACTATACATGTAACCTAGCCTTCCATGTATCTTTCTGCTTTCACCAAACTTAGCACCGTTTTTTTAAGTTCTCCAAATTTCAGTCTTCAAAAAAAAAAAAAAAAAAGAAAATCCTATTTTTAGGGTAAGAAGATGGCATTTAACATCTTTTTTATTACCCAACTATTTTAACTAGCATTTTCAACCTCCTGTTTTGATGTGACCTCAGAAATCTTTAATCATAGGGCCCAAAAAATAATTTGCACAATGTCCAAATGCAGCTTGAAAGAGAAAAATAAAAGGTGGAAAGGAAAATTAGACAATCAAAATATCAAAAATATCTTCGATTTGACAATTGTATCACTGAAAAAGAAAACCTACTTATTTTAACATCCCCATGAATATCCCATTCAATGCTACAAAAGGACACCTAGTCAAGACCCTCTAAAATATTCATATAAGAAATTATATAAAAATCGATTTAATATTCTACTTGATTGAATAACTGAATACTTCAGACTAGTCAAATTCACACATAAAACTGACAGTCACAATAGGAAGGAAATTTCCTTTTCAGAACACAAGCCAGAATTTCATTCCAAGACTTTTTAACAAAAAGAAAAATGTAACTCTAATAACTCATGAAACATTACTAATACTTATACTTTAAATTCATATCATAACACTATTCATTTATGTCCACTTGATAATTCCAGAGTTGATCACTGAATTTGTATTTTTATCAGATGCTCTGTGTAAGTTAGTGCATGAGCTCCTTCCTCTTCTGGCTTAATGTGGTGTGAAGCAAGCTTCTTTCATCATTCACACCATAAAAGTAATAACATTCACAGAGAAGAAGAATAATGATAAGCAGCAAATTTTGTATTGCTTAATTAAGTACTCTCTCTAATTAAATGATGACTGCTTGTATGTTCTCCTAAAAATTAGAACAACACATACATGTATGGAATGAGAAAAAGGTTGCCTGACCACAACCATAAAATATATTTGAAGAAAAAGAAGATGCCACTTTTTCCTTTCTTTAGTTTTTAGATTCAATCCTTATTTTTTACACCAGATATTCATTCTAATACTATTAACACATGTGCCACAAATATTTTTTAATATAGAGAAAAAATGCTTTAGTAGTCTATGATAATCTAGTTTATGTTTCTGCTTTTCATAAGCATGGCCAAGGAGATTATTACCCAACATTCTTCAGCTGATGGAAATGACATTGACTTTTTTTTTTTTTTTTTTTTTTTTAGAGAGATGGGGTCTTACTCTGTCACCCAGGTAAGAGTGCAGTGGCACCTTCTTAGCTCACTGCAGCATCGAACTCCTGGGTTCAAGCAATACTCTCACTTCCACCTCCTGAGTAGCCTTCAGGCACATACTACCTATTCTGGCTAATTTTTTTGTAGAGATGGGGGTCTCACTATGTTGCCCAGGCTGGTCTCAAACTCCCGGCCTCAAAGCAATCCTCTTGGCTCAGTTTCCCAAAGTGTGGGGATTACAAGCGTGAACCACTGCACCCAGCCTGACTTTTTAATTTTTATAAATTAATTGTGCTATTTTCACAAACTTCAAATAAATTTATAATAAAGTATACATACCCGCCAGTCTTGTTATTATATCAAAACTTCTCATTTATTGATAAATCCAAAAATCAATCCGATTTCAAAGTTAATTTTAAAATCCCAAATTTGGGACTAGTATTTTCTCACTTCACTCTGACATTACCAGGGCAGTATTTCCTCTGTCAATTCTGAAATATGAAATGAGAAATCTGCTTTTATTAATCTAGTTAGAGGAATGAACTTCAGACTTCTAAAATGCAGCAAAGAAATTGAGTCAGGCAGGAAAAAAATAATGAGAAAGTTAGGATGCCTTAGTGAGCAGGCAGAGTCATTTTATGTAGAGGTTTCCCTCAAGCAACTAAATCGAGCCCAAACAAGCCTATTTCTCTGAAACTTGCTTTACCCGCCGTTCCGTCGCAAAATACATTGTAATAATATCATAAAACAGCTTGAGACGAAGAAAGATTCTGATTGACTGTTCAACATTCCAAAAGGGTAAATTAATATCTGTGAATCTCACAGCTGAAGCATTTTAATGCAAACTTGCAGTTTGTGGGAATTGAATCTGTCCGCCAAAATCATTTATTTATATATAGAAAATGGGGGGAAATAGACATTTCATAATAGCAATGAGTTCAGGGGATGCTGTTATCATGAGCTAATCACATCCCATGGGCATGATCGCACTCAGCTGTGTCCCCTGTCTCGTATTGCTCCAGAGGAATGATTATCTCATGATAATAACCCTTATCGTGGCTTAGTGGGTAATAAAAATATATACTTCCTTCCCAAGTTCTTGGGCATTTATTCATCAGCTAACTTTTTCCCTCTTGAGTTCTGGTCATATGTTACTTTCTGCTTAGAAAACAAAAAGAAATCTTGTATTCAGATAACATTTTCTGTTAGCAAAGTGGAAAAAAATAAACAAACAAACAATAATAGTGTGACTGTATTGATCTGACTGTTTAAGAGTGGCATTGCAGACAAGCCCTGATCACTTGAGACCTGTGCACAGAAGATCCATGCTTGCATTGACATTCGGTAGGATGTCTAGACATGCATTCGGTAGCATAGAAACAATGAAGGGAATATAATATATTATATATATAATATATTATATAATACCATACATATCTTTGTACTATGATGCATAACTATCCAACATGTACACTTTACTGGAGGTTATAGACTATGCAACTTCAAATGTGGCTGTCCCATTTAGACAAAACATCCTACCAATGACTCTCATACTGCCAAACTGCAAGGCACAGGTATGGCAACAGAAATTCAAGGTAATGTCAGTCACTGCAGCAAGAATCCCAGTCTTTTCTGTGAGTATTTGCAGCTTAAGATGCAAAGGCAACAGGAATTCTGAGACAAAGTCATGAAGAAACAGAAAATCACAAAGGAATTAGAGCAAAAGACAATTGAGAAGAAGGGAAGTGGAACACATTTCTCCTTGTTTCCTTGTTGCCTGTATCATAACTCTAAGATTCTCTAATATGCTCACTTTATTAATAAGTACTTACCTATGCTTTTTGAAATTTCAAGAAATGTTATGCTTTCTATGAAGAGCATACTATTATAAGGTATACCTCTTCTTATACACTAAGACCAATGTAGAGCAATATGCAACATTTAGTATTTAAAAAATTAAGCGTAGCTCCAATGAAACAATAAGTGCTCCGTTAAACATAGCATAAGCAATCCAAATGATTCAACTGAAAAATTAATTGTAGTATATATATTTAGTTACATAACATTGAGTATATGCGAACAACATCAATAAATCTTGATGCATAGAATTTTCATTCTGCAGAAGATATAAAACTTTACAGACCGTATTATACACATTAACATAGCTCCATTCTAAGGTATATCAAAATAACATTTTAGGAAAGTTTGGAAGTGGATGAGGGATAATACAAAAGGGAATAGAATTTATTTAAACTAAAAAATAAAGGGATCCTGGAGAGATGATAGTGTGACAGCATAGCTTTTCTTTTTTTCTTTTTTTTTTTTTTTTTTTTTTGAGATGGAGTTGAGAAGGAGTTTCACTCTGTCGTCTGGTTGGAGTGCAGTGGCAGGATCTTGGTTCACTGCAACCTCTGTCTCCCTGGTTCAAGCGATTCTCTACCTCAGCCTCCTGAGTAGCTGGGATTACAGGCATGCGCTACCATGCCTGGCTAAGTTTTGTATTTTTTTAGAGACAAGGTTTCACTATCTTGGCCAGGCTAATATTGAACTCCTGACCTCGTGATCTACCTGCCTTGGCCTCCCAAAGTGTTGGGATTACAGGCGTGAGCCACTGTTCCTGACCAGCATAGCCTTTCAATCTTTTCAATTCACATAAAACTGACAAAGCAAGTAGATAGCAAAAGCTAAAACACAAGACATTATTTAAAACAAAATTAGAAAGGAGGGTGTGGGGAAAAAAAACTCAATCATACTGTATGGCATTTCTTTTTTTTAAAAAAATATTTTTTATTATACTTAAAACTCTGGGGTGCATGTGCAGGTTTGTTACATAGGTACACACGTGCCATGGTGGTTTGCTGCACCCATCAACCAGTCATCTATATTAAGTATTTCTCCTAATGCTATCCCTCTCCTAGCCCTTCACCCCCCAACAGGCCCTGGTGTGTGATGTTTCCCTCTCTGTGTTCATGTATTCTCATTGTTCAACTCCCATTTATGAGTGAGAACATGTGGTGTTTGGTTTTCTGTTCTTTTGTTAGTCTGCTGAGAATGATGGTTTCCAGCTTCATCTATGTCCCTGCAAAGGACATTAACTCATCCTTTAATATGGCTGCATAGTATTCCATCTTGTGTATGTGCCACATTTTCTTTATCTAGTCTATCACTGATGGGCATTTGGGTTGGTTCCAAGTCTTTGCTATTGCGAACAGTTCTGCAATAAACATATGTGTGCATGTGTCTTTATAGTAGAATAATTTATAATCCTTTGGATATATACCCAGTAATGGGATTGCTGGGTCAAATGCTATTTCTGGTTCTAGATCTTTGAGGAATCACCACACTGTCTTCCACAATTGTTGAACTAATTTACACTCCCATCAACAGTGTAAAAGAGTTCCTGTTTCTCCACATCATCTCTAGCATCTGTTGTTTTCTGACTTTTTAATGATCGTCATTCTAACTGGTATAAGATGGCATCTCATTGTGGTTTTGATTTGCATTTCTCTAATGACCAGTGATAATGAGCTTTTTTTCATATGATTTTTGGCCACATAAATGTCATCTTTTGAGAAGCGTCTGTTCATATCCTTCACCCACTTTTTGATTAGATTGTCTGTTTTTTTTCCTTGTCAATTTGATTAAGTTCCTCATAGATTCTGGATATTAGCCCTTTGTCAGATAGATAGATTGCAAAAATTTTCTCCCATTCTGTAAGTTGCCTGTTGACTCTGATGATAGTTTCTTTTGCTGTGCATAAGCTCTTTAGTTTATTATATCCCATTTGTCAATTTTGGCTTTTGTTGCCATTGCTTTGCTGTTTTAGTTATGAAGCCTTTGCCCATGCCTATGTTCTGCATGGTATTGCCTAGGTTTTCTTCTAGGGTTTTTATGGTTTTAGGTCTTATATTTAAGTCTTTAACCCATCTGAGTTAATTTTTTATAACGTGTAAGGAAGGGGTCCAGTTTCAGTTTTCTGCATATGGCTAACCGGTTTTCCCAACACCATTTATGAAATAGGGAATCCTTTCCCCATTTCTTGTTTGTTTAAGGTTTGTTAAAGATCAGATGGTTGTCAATGTGTGGTGTTATTTCTGAGGCCTCTGTTCTGTTCCATTGGTCTATATGCTTTGGTACCAGTATCATGCTGTTTTGGCTACTGTAGCCTTGTAGTATAGTTTGAAGTCAGGTAGCATGATGCTATGTTCTTTTTGCTTAGGATTGTCTTGGCTATATGGGCTCTTTTTTGGTTCAATATGAAATTTAAAGCACTTTTTTTTTTTTTCTAATACTGTGAAGAAAGTCAATGGTTGCTTGATGGAGATAACATTGAATCTATAAATTACCTGGGGCAATATGGCCATTTTTCACAACATTGATTCTTCCTATCGGAATGTTTTTCTATTTGTTTGTGTCCTCTCTTATTTCCTTGAGCAGTGGTTTGTAATTGTCCTTGAAGAAGTCCTTCACATCTCTTGCAAGTTGTATTCCTAGGTATTTTATTCTCTTTGCAGCAATTGTGAATGGGAGTTCACTCATGATTTGGCTCTCTGTTTATCTATTATTGGTGTATAGGAATGCTTGTGATTTTTGCACAATGCTTTTGTATCCTGAGACTTTGCTGAAGTTGCTTATCAGCTTACGGATATTTTGGGCTGAGACGATGGGTTTTACTAAATACACAATCATGTCATCTGCAAACAGAGACAATTTGACTTCCTCTCTTCCTATTTGAATACCCTTTATTTCTTTCTCTTTCCTGATTGCCCTGGACAGACTTTCCAACACTATGTTGAATAGGAATGGAGAGAGAGGGCATCCTTGTCTTGTGCTGGTTTTCAAAGGGAATGCTTCCAGGTTTTGCCCACTCAGTATGATATTTTTATAGGGAAGACAGAGGTAATGGAGGCAAAGGCTCATGAACTCAAGAATAAGATAACCACCAATTTGAAAACAGGAACTAGAACTAAGTAGAGATTTGCTCTCTCCTACAAAAGGTGAGTGCAAAAATGTCCATTATAAGAAGGACAAAAAGGATTGGAGCAGTCTAGCCCCTGTGAACTCAAGATAAAAGGAGAGAAGGTCAAAACCAAAATTGAGAGGAACACAGTAAGGAAATAAAAACAGAAAATGGGGTTTTATATTGTTGAAAAGGTTTTCCTAATCTCTCCCTCATTTTAGGAGCATGAAAAGTATAATTTCATATAAAAATTAGCAACAGAAATGATCAAGGTTACATTCCATATAAATTTATATTACGAAAAAAAGAGGAAGAAGCAAACCAAAATTCTTATAGAAAATAAAAATATACAAATGAGATTTGCTGACAAACACAACAAATTATATTTTAAAGAAAACTAAAAGAGCTTAAGATTTTAATAGCAAATATAAAAGAATAATATAAATCAGAATTAGAAAAATTTAGAAAAGAGAATACAAAACAGTGTTACTAATAACAAATAAGAGAAAGTCATTTTAGAAAGGAAGACCAAACTATACAGAACACATGAGTTAATAACTACAACAGCTTACATTTTAAGGAAAATACAAGAAGAAAATAAATGAAATCCAAAATCAACTGAAAAATAATATTATTTGGAAGTAAACTACAAACCTGATAATTTTGACCTAGACAAACAGCACCTTAAAAAATTAATAAACATTAAGGAAAAAAGTTTCTTTGTGCATTTAGATAAAAAGAATACCTAATTTATTTATTTATATTTAAATCTTGACAACAAAATTTTATTGTTTGGTTACGTCAAAAAAAATTTTTTTAAATTGTTAGGCAGTTAAGTCTGACTTATTAATTTAAACTATGTCAATATTAATTAAAACAATTTGCAAGCAAATACATATTCCTAAACAAGCAAAATTTTAAGGCACTTAATTAAGAAGACATGTTTGCCACACAGATATACTTCTCTTTAAAGAGTACATACTAATATAGAAATAAAATTTCCGACGAGAAATTATATGTTAAATATCAACCATAATTGCTCGATTTAACATGATAATAATCAGATATACAAATATTTTATGAAGCTTTAAGTGTGTACTTACATTCTTTTTGACATAAATATTTTAAATTTTAACTTTTATTTTAGATACAGGGCTTACATGTACAGTTTTGTTACATGGGAATAGTCTGTGAGGCTGAGGTTTGGCGTACTGATCCCATCACCCAGGTAGTAAGCATAGTGTGCAATAGGTAGTTTTTCAACACACACCCCCCTCCCTCCCTACTCACTCTACTGGTCCATAGTGTCTATTGTTCCCATATTTATCTCCATGTGTTTACAATGTTTAGCTCCCACTTATAAGCGAAAATTTGTGGTATTTGGTTTCCTGTTTCTACATTAATTCGCTTAAGATAATGGCCTACAGTT